CCACTTGTTTAAATCCTTAGAAGATGAGGGACTGCTGAAAGTTCCACTACATGCAATGTTTGGTATCCATTTCCTTTTGTCTTTTATTACTATGGCTGGGTCATCAATTCTAGGTGCAGCAGATGACAAATTCCTAACCCATTACCTACCTAAGGCCCCATCATCCACTACAAAGATGCATTTTCCTAAACTGAACCTTTAATAGGTACTGCAGTAGAGGGCTTAAGGTAAAGGTTCCCCTCACACATACGTGCTAGTTGTTTCTGGCTCTAGAGGGTGGTGCTCATCTCTGTTACAAAGCTGAAGAGCCAGCGCTGTCTGAAGACGTCTCCGTGGTCATGTAGCCGGCATGACTAAAGGCCAAAGGCGCACAGAATGCTGTTTCCCTCCCACCAAAGGTGGTCCCTATTTTTCTACTTGCATTTTTACATGCTTTCGAACTGCTAGGTTGACAGAAACTGGGACAAGTAACGGGAGCTCACTCCGTTACACGGTGCTAGGGATTCGAACCACCACACTGCCAACCTTTCTGATCAACAAGTTCAGCGTCTGAACCACTGAGCCACCAACAACAGTTCATTTAGTCTGAAGTTACAATGGCACTGAAAAAAGGGACCATGACCATTTTTTCACACTTATGACCATAGCAGCTTCCCCATGATCATGTGATCAAAACTGGCGACTGATTCATATTTATGATGGCGGCCGTGTCTCGGGGTCATATGATCCAAATCTTGCGACCTTCTGACAAGCAAAGTCAATGGGGAAACCAGATTCATTTAACAAACGTGTTACTAACTTAATAACTGAAGTGATTCACTTAACAACTGTGGTGAGAAAGGTTGTAAAATGGGGGCAGAACTCACTTAACAACTCACTTAACAACTCACTTATCTTACTTAGCAACAAAAATTCGGGGCTCAATTGTAGCCATAAGTCGAGGACCACTTGTATAAATTTCGCAGCCACTGAAAGTATAATAGGGGAAGATGAAAGCTGACATCCAACTGAGGCTCAGGTAAAGGGGAAAATACCTTTACTTTTGCAAAAGGCAATTAGCTTTAATTAAGGGCCAATTTAGTATGAAAGTCAATGTAGAGAAAAGTAAAGTCTTATACTTTGGCAAGAAAAACCAAAAGTACACATATAGACTGGGTGAAACCAGCCTCAATAGCAGTAGCTGTGAGAGGGATCTTGGAGTCTTAGTGGACAACCAGCTAAATATGAGACAGCAGTGTGCAGCAGCAGCCAAAAAAGCCAACACAATCCTAAGTTGCATTAAGAGGGATACAATCAAGATCAAGTGAGGTAGTAATACCACTCTATAAAGTCTTAGTAGGACCACACCTAGAATACCACATCCAGTTTTGGTCACCATATTATAAAAAAGATATTGAGACGCTAGAAAGAGTGCAGAGGAGAGCAACCAGGATGATTAGGGGACTGGAGGCTGAAACATATGAAGAACAGTTGGACATAGCTAGTCTAGTGAAGAGAAGGATCAGGGCAGACTTGATAGCAATGTTCCAATATTTGAGGGGCTGCCACAGAGAGGAAGGGGGTCAACCTATTTTCCAAAGCACTGCGAGACCCGACAAGGAATAATGGATGGAAACTGAACACGGAGATATTCAACCTGGAAATAAAAAGAAATTTTCTAACAGTGAGAGCAATCAACCAATGGAACAGAAGTTGCCTTCAGAAGTTGTGGAAGCTTCATCACTGGAAGCTTTCAAGAAGAGACCAGACTGCCACCTGTCAGAAATGGTGTAGGATCTGCTTGGGCTGGACTAAATGACATACAAGGTCCCTTCCAACTCTGTAGTTAGATTGAACAAACTTCAGATAAAAAAACAAGGTAGTTATCAACAATCATTTGAAAAGCCATCATTAACTGTTACTACCTGGATGGTCATATCACTGTTTTCTCCTCTTTACTTCCCAAATTACAGATAGTCCACATTTAATGTTGGGCTACTTTTTGAAGGTACAACAGCACTGAAAAAGTAACTTTACAAAAGATGCTCACACATATGACCGAGGCAGGGTCCTGACATCACTTGATTATCATTTGAGTACTTTGCAGCTGGCTTCCAACTAGCAAAGTAAATGGAGAAGTAAAATCACAAATTGTGGTCATGTGATGCCTCGCTTAATGATCACATTACTTAACAACAAAATTGCCAGCCCCAATTTTGGTCGTTAAGTGAGGACTACCTACAGTTATTTCTATTTTTTCATCTAGATATATAACATAGCCAGTCTAGTCCATCCTCTTCTGTCTAGTTTTGCAAATCAGTTGGAGCTGGTATCGTTTAGCTTATTCCTTGCAGAAACATGGCTTTGCGTTGACTTTCTAAGATCCTTGGACAATTGGGCTTTCCTGGTAAATATCTAGGTGGTTGAAAGTAAAGACTGACATATTTTCTATTATTTTAATAACAGCGAGATAAAAAGCTTTTCCAAGATTCTTTCTATCCGATTTCGTATTAAAAAAAGTGAAACCTAGATTATTTTGAGTTACTTTCTCACACTTCTATTTCACAACTGTGTTAATTTATTCTCCAAGGCTCCTTTTAATGGTTCTTTCATATTTTTTTCAAGTGTAAGCTCTAGGTTTTTTTTAAAAAACATTGGCTTGGGCACAAGGAAGTATCTCAGTTTGATCCTGAAGCCAAGAGCCACATAAAATCTTATTTTTTAAGCAGTTGATCAAATCGCTAACATTCCCTATGATCCATCCATTCATGGATGATTTAGATGGCTGTCCACTCTTTTGTTATTTTTGACATTTGATCACAGCAAGGCAGAGAATCGTTATGGCTATAAATAGGTGGAAAACTGAAAGAATATCTACACAGGATAGATCTTCTGGCATGGACCGACATTGTAAAAAGAATGCATTGATGTTAAACAATGGACAGTACCTATCTCTAGATGCTGTTCATTCTCTACAAAAAAGCTTGGTTTCTCATATTATTTTTTATTCACATCACACCAAACCTATCATATTATGCTTAGCACATTGAGTGAATCATTCTGTAAATCCGGTGCATACAAAAGTATAGGTGCTACATATAAATCAGTTCCACTTCACAGTTTTTAACCTTTTATTTCCATTGGGAAGGGATAATCCTTTTATTAACTTATTGATCTAACTTACAGAAATTGTTCTAAGGATTACTGAAATACCTTGTTTGGATGTGTGCTAAGAACTTTGCAGTGGTCCAGCAAGAATAGGATCAAAAAATCTATATCACCTGTTTTAATGTGAAATGAAACAATAAAATTTGAAAGAATTTTTCAGAAACGAAGCAAGCAATAAAGCTAACCTATAAGCTGATAAATACATTGACCTGGGTCAAGATTGATGTTCTGAATTCTCTATTTAAGGGGCGGGGTGGCTGGGGGGTGGTACTTTTCATTTCAAATGTCAAAAAGGAAAAAAAAATTGAGTCATACATATATATGCCTGATGTTGGGCTTATATATACACTAGTACCTGTGACTCCCACCTAGCAGAGGAAAACTCTACTTTTGCTTATTTATGTGTTATGCATCATTTATATCAGTCTTCCACAATCTGAGAAGGGCTAGTTTAGATATTATGCAATCATTTAAATACAGGGAGCCCTTATCTTACGAGCAGGACTGAGCCCTAAATTTCCAGTACTGAGCAAGACAGTTGTTAAGTGAGCTTTGCCCCATCTTGTGATCTTTCTTGGAAGTCATTAAGTGAATCACTGCAGTTGTTACATTAGTAATGCGGTTGTTAAGTGAATCCGGCTTCTCTAGGTGCTTTGACTTTGCTTATCAGAAGGTCACAAAAGAGAACAGAATAGGAGTAGAATAGAACAGAATAGAATAGAATAGAACAGAACAGAGTAGAGTAGAATAGAATAATAGAGTTAGAAGGGACCTTGGAGGTCTTCTAGTCCAACCCCCTGCTTAGGCAGGAAACCCTACACCACTTCAGACAAATGGTTTAGTTTAGTTTAGTTTATTGTCATTGCAGCAAAATCAAATACCATCTTCAGTGCACATTATGACTATGAAAATAAACACAAACACACATCCTTCTCCCTCCACACATTGAACCAAAACCCCCCGACACCACACCAATACTGCACTATACAGCAGAATTCAAAAGAGCTACTGCCCTGGGATAGAAGCTGTTTTTCAGCCTATTTGTCCTTGTTATCCAACATCTTCTTAAAAACTTCCAGTGTTGGAGCATTCACAACTTCTGGAGCCAAGTTGTTCCACTGATTAATTGTTCTAACTGTCAGGAAATTTCTCCTTAGTTCTAGGTTGCTTCTCTCCTTGATTAGTTTCCACCCATTGCTCCTTGTCCTGCCTTCAGGTGCTTTGGAGAATAGCTTGACTCCCCCTTCTTTGTGGCAGCCTCTGAGATATCGGAACCCTGCTATCCTGTCTCCCCTAGTCCTTCTTTTCATCAAACTAGCCGTACCCAGTTCCAGCAACCATTCTTTATATGTTTTAACCTCCAGACCCCTAAATGATCACATCACTTGGGGACACTGCAACCATCAAAATTACAGGCCAGTTGCTGAGTAGGCAAATTTTGATCACGTGACCATGGAAATGCTGCAACAGTCATAAGTATGAAAAAAGTCATAAGTCACTTTTTTCAATACCGTTGTAACTGTTCGAACAGTCGCTAAATGAACTGTTGTAAGTTGAAGACTACCTGTATTTTATAAAACGAAATGTTTTATTATTATAAAAAAAATTAAAAGTTAAAGTTACAATCACATTGCTGTCATGGTTATATATATTAGTTGTTTTATTTGATGCTAAGATATTTAAAAAAAGAAAAACAGCGTACTACCTGAAGCCCAATGCATCTGGAAAGTACCTACCTCAGGAAGGTTGTTCTATATGCAACGTGAGAAATCAAATAAAATATTAACATTAATAATAAATATATGCCCAAGCACCCATCAGCCAATAAAAATAATCTAGGATTTAAAGCATGCTTTATTACAAACATTTTAGTAATGCAAATAAGTAAATTACAAAATATTTCTGAAGTACTTCCATCTAAGAGAGTTGCACAGTCTTAAATATTCAGGTAAAAGAATAAACAGCCCCTTGAAATAAGGGAGATTTTCACACAAAGAATTGCCATTAAAACATACAACAAACCAGCATGTTTTTAACTCCAAGGCTACTGATGTGAGTGAAGGCAAGGAAATGCCTCACCTCTTCTTCCTGGAACTGGAAGCAGCTTCCCACAGAAAGGGAAGACAGTGCTTTCCTTTCAAAACCAAAATCTTCCTCCCTGCCGCTCCTCCTCCAGCATCTTTACAAATAGAAAAGCTTGTTTGCAAGTTCCAGGCTTGGCGCTTGGTGGATGCTCTGGCTGACCAAAAACGTCAGCTTGTTGGCATATTGACAAGGTGCTGGCACTCTGATTAACCCCTAGGAAGTGAAAAGAAAAAAAGGAAAAAAAAAAGAAGAATGGGGATGCCACTAGCTTGTACTGCCACCTGTGGCTAAAAGCAGTAAGATGTTTCTGGAAGGTTGTATTTAAAAACCAAACCAGAGCACAGGAGTCCCTAAAAACAATCTCCAGTCAATGATATTCAGCAGTGAGTCTACTAGTTCCAGACAGAGATTACAAGCAGAAGGTGAGTCTCCTCTTGACTGGCCATTTTCCAGTTGGAAACCCAGAGGAAGGTGTGACTGTATTTTTCCAATTTTAGAATATTTCGCACTTCTCTAGCCGAGTGCTCTAGAAAGGGTTAGTTCTAGCAAGCATTTCAACCGGTGGAGTAGGACAGGCTGGGGTAGATCTCCACCAGATGCCCTCCAATCCACTGGTCAATGGGAGCTTACAGCATGCAGAACGCTTAAACAACCAACCAGCCTGGCTGCTTTCCTGAAGTACCTCATTCTAAGAGTGTCTTCAGAACAGGCAGCTGGGTAACCCAGTGCAAATAGGTAGGAAAATCCAAGGAGCAAGGACAAAATCCAAGGACCTTGCCTTCAGAAGTTGTGGGTGCCCCATTGCTGGAGGCTTTTAACTGGAGAGCCACTTGTCTGAAATGGCATAGGGTCTCTTGTTCGAACAGGGAGTTGAACTAGAAGACCTCCAAGGTTCCTTCTAACTCTGTTATTCTATGTTATTTTATGTTCCTAAAGCGATGCCTTGTGTGACCAGCTGTCATGCCCCTGTTGGAATCTGATTCTGAGGGGGAGGTCGAGCAGCTGACAGGGATGGGAGTGTGGCTCCGTTGGCTGTGGAAAAAAACTGGGGAAGGGCAAAACCTGGCTGGGCAGAGCAGGGGAGAAATAGAGCAAGGCAGAGGGAATTCACGGGAAGATCCAGGGCCACCCCTTCTTCATCCTAGGGCATGCAGGGAGGAACGGAGAAGGGAGCAACGTGGGTTGCATGGCTTATGGGGGAGGAAAGGGCCCTGATTCCCTTCATTAGCTGCAGCTGGGAAAACAGTGTTTAAAAAAGGAGTTCGCACACAAGCAACTTGTTGGAAGCAAATTGTGAGTTATCTTTTATTCTCAAGGCTTATCTGGGTTCTTGACATCTTCCCAACTGTGGGTGTTTTGTTGGCCTTTGAAGTCTGCGATTCCTTATCCTGCCCTGTCCAGTTAATTGCTGCAGCATGGTTTGTGTGGATTTTTATTTATAGTTAATATGTACTTTGTTTTCGGACTGAATTTCCTCCACTTAAACACTGTTCATGGGAGAGTTTTTTCTCCAGCCGAAGATAACTGGACACTGGGGGCAAAGTTGGAGGTATTAAAGGGACTTTTCTTACTTATTTGACTGTGTTGCCTTTGTGCCACACCCCGGGTCATCACACCAGCTGTTTAGCTGGCTGATGAGTGAATGGTGGTGCTATCACATCTGAATGGAGGCCAAGAGAAATGTGGAATCAGGAGAGGCAGAAAGATCATCTCTCTCACTCCAGAGACTTTGGGCTACAACTTCCAGCATTCTCAGTGAGCAAGCTTTGCTGGCTGGGTGACTGGGAGTTGAAATATACCACATCTGGAAGATGTCTTCTAGAAGAGATTGCTATTACCTTCCTAAGTTCAGCAGGAGATGGGAAGGACTATCTCTAGGTTGATGGAAATGCTACTTACAGGCCAATTATAGTAGAGGTGACACATCTTGAAAGTGAACCGCTGCATATGGTCTGGACTTAACTTGTTCTCATCATAAACCACATTATAGTACGTGGGATTGACAGTCCCTTGGCGTGCAAGTTGGCTAATCAAGAAAAAGTCATACCTGTTGGACAAAGGTAGAATTAGTACTGGGAAAAATGTCATGGAGCATTAACAGCAACAATAAAAGCAACAATTCACTGAGAGAAGGATGTCTTATGACTTCTACCCTGCCTTCCAAATTAATAAAGTAACCCTAATGTTAATTGAATATCAACTGCAACTAAAGTGAAAACACAGGAAATTTTTTAAAAACTTAAAAATTAATTTGTTATGTCATTAGTATGTATAACTCAGTGTAAAGGAGCTTGGTTCTATTTATGTTATGTACTGTATCTATATTAAGATGCAAGGTAAAGGCAAAGGTGTTCCTGTCCAACTCTAAGGTGTGGTGCTCATCTCCGTTACTTGGCCAAGGGAGTCATCATTGTCCAAAGACAATTTCCATGGTCATGTGACCAGCACGGCTATACACCAAAGGTGCACTGAACCTTCCCACCAAAGTGGCACCTATTAATCTACTTGCTAAATGTCTATGGAAATTCTCAGTCATCCAGATCATGGTTGTCCCCACAATCATTTTTTTCAAGAGGGAGCTGTGACTTTCTGGTTTTTCTCTGAAGACGTTTCACTTCTCATCCAGGTCATGGCTGTCCCAAAGATGTTTTTTCAAGAGGCAACTGAACTTTCTTGTTTTTCTTTTTTCTTTTTCCCTTTAAGTCATTTCACTTCTCATCCAAGAAGCTTCTTGGATGAGAAACGAAATGTCTTCAAAGAAAAACAAGAAAGTTCAGTTGCTTTTTGAAAAAGCACCTTTGGCATTATTCATCTACTTGCAGTTGCATGCTTTCAAACTGCTAGGTGGCCAGGACTGGAATAAGCGCTCCCCCCGTTGCGGGACGCTCGGGTCTCAAACCCTGGCTGTCAGATGTCCAGCTTTCAATCTCAAGCATCTTTAACTGCTGCATCCCATTATATCAGGATAAGCAAATATTAACTTAACCAGGATTGATTGCATGTTCTCGATGTATTCAAAGCAGTGCTTCACACACCTATGTTCTTTTTTTAAAACCTTCCAACATCTCAAAATTTCAGCCCAATTAACTATAGCGTCATATCACCAATTATGCTCCTTTGTAAAACTAATAATGTGCCTCCTTCAACTGTAAAAGCTTCCTTTATCATTGTGACATATAGACATAAGAAGGCATATTTCGTAACAATGTACACTTGCCAGCTAGGTTGGGTGGCCTCCGTATCAATAACCGTTCCAACAGGAGGATTCCTCAGGCCCCCATTAGACTCAACGAAGAAGCGAGAAAGGCATTTCTTTTTCACAATGATTAATGTCATCTTGGGTCTTCCAATATTAAAAATAAAAAGAGAAGAAATACAATGAAAAAGCAGTGCATTTCTTCATTAATCACTCACTATTTCCACTGTGAACTGAAAGATGCTGCAGATAAAATCTGGCTCCCCAAAATTGTTATCATTCATAGTATTTTATTCAGGAACAATGGCGGAAGCGTTCATATTCCCAGAGAGGAAACGAACGCAGACATAATGCTGCCCGGTCTCCTGCCTATAAGGACTAAAGAGAAATGCCAGCACCCAAATTGCCCTCCTCTCTCTGCATGAATCCTTCTATTTGCAAAAAGGAACTTATTATAAAACCAAGATGCTACAAATATAGCACCGACCAGGTGTAATCTAAAAAGAGAAAGAAAAAGAGAGAAGGGAGAACAGGGAAGGAGAATTTAAAGGTGCTCCTGAATCAAGGAAAACCCTGAAATTCCTCCAATTCTTTTATCTTCAAACTTTGGAGAGTGGGCCCTTTGCACAGGAACGGAACAGCACGGGGAAAATTGACTGTCTGACACATTCTACCATCAACCTGCAAGACAAGAAATATTTACCTGCACCCGCCACTGCATTCATCAAGGACACTTAGCAACTGTGGGACTTCATAATCCATCACCATCTTCAACTGCCCATCTCCTACACCATCCCGGTATATGATTATGCGTGCAGGTAGATGCCCATTACATTTCTCCCAATTGTTTATAGCACCTGTAGAATTGCAAAAAGAAACAAAAATAGACCGGATTTGGGTAACTGATGGAGGGGAAGGGATCAAGCTGCGAGGTATACCTTATTATTACAGTTTAGTTAATTTTTAGGAGAGCGCAAAAGGTTTTGCACCTGTCCACATTATAAAAAAAATTGCCACTTGCTTGAAGAAGTTATACCATGTTTTCCCCAAAATAAGACCCTTTCTTATTTATTTTTTTGGCCACCAAAAAAAACCACTAGATCTTATTTTCAGGGGATGTCATCCACTGACTAACCTCACTTGCGTGCGTTGCCCTCAGCCTCCTTCTCACTGTCAGAGGACTTCAGGAACTTCTTCTGTGGCCAGCAAGGCTTTCCTGAAGGCCTCAGCAGCCGATAACAGAGCTCTGGATTGATCCAGAACTTTGTTATCAGCTAGAGAGGCCTTCAGGAAAGCCTTGCCAGCCTTGCCGGCTGCAGAAGAAATGGGCCGGCAAGACAGGTGTTGGGGCATGCGAGGCCTGGCTACAACTGTCCAAAGGTAAGTAGTAGGTCAGCTCCACACACCATATCCCCACCCTAGCTTAATTTTTACCTTTGCACTCTGGAGTGGGTGGGATCTTAATTAGGGCTTATTTGGGGGGGGGTAGGGCTTATATTGGACATACATGTAAAAATCAAGCTAGGACTTATTTCGGGGTGGGTTGAATTTTCGGGGAAACAGGGTATTACTATGCTGAATATAGCTGGGGGCAATACTAGATTATTTCTTTTGTATCATCTTTATTGAAAAATGACCCATATGTAAATATGTAAATATAGCACGGAGAAGATTGAGATGTAAGGATAAAAGGTACTGATTTATAGTAAGAGTAAGATGGAATGGTAAAGGAATAAGTAAATACATATACTGAAAAACATGAGGAGATACAAAAGATGTCTTGATGTTGTTAACAATGTATAAAGTTTTATTTTATGTTTTTAAATTTGGAAGCTTAATAAAATTTATTATAAAAAGAAAAGAAAAAGAAAAATGACCCAGTATTGTCCCCAACTACTCAGTTACTATACAGTTAGTCCTCGGCTTAGAATCACAAATTAAGACCAGAATTTTGGGTGCTAAACAAAGTGGTTGTTTAGCGAGCCATGCCCGATTTTACAGCCTTTTTGCCATCTGTTAAATGAACAATGTGCACTTCCTAAGTGACTCACATATTAAGCTAATCTAGTTCCCTCTCTATTGACCTTGTTTGTTGAAAGCCGGCTGGGAAAGTTGCAAATGGCAATCAGGTGATCCTGGGATGCAGCAATTGTTGTATATACATGCCAGCTGCCAAGCACCCAAAGTTTGATTGTGTGCCGTGTTACAATAGGGTAAGTTGTACGTCACTTTTTTTCCAGGGCCGAACTAACTTTGAACAGTCACTGAACAAATAGTTGTAAATTGGAGATTACGTCTAATTGAGGGGTGTCAAACTCAATTTCATTGAGGGCTGCATCAGAGTTGTTTGACCTTGGGGAGCTGGATGGGCATGGCTGGGGCACGGCCAGCTTGACATCACTCATATCAGGAGGCACATGTGATGGCCCAGATAGGGGTGGTGGAGGGGAGTCCTCCTGCAGCCCTCTGCCAGCAAAAATGGAACCCGTTTTTACTGGCAGAGGCACCGCAGACTGGTCCTTCGCTATTTCCAGGGTGGCCCATGGACCAGATCTAAGCACCCCGTGGGCCAGATCCAGCCTGCAGGCCTTGAGTTTGACACCCTGCTCTAACTGCAAAGCATATTTCACACCCTTTACATGCTATTCTTTTACCTTCCATGCAGATCCTTAAACAATCTGCCATACTGGTTCCTGCACACTGGAAAATGCAACGCGAATGCCACCTGCACACAAGAGAATGTCAGTTAGTTGCAAAGCTCTCAGCATACTTAAGGCTAGAGGCCCAGGAATGGAGAACTTCTCTTCCAGATGTTACTGAACTATTGAGGAGTGCAGTGGTTCACGAGGTGAGGATGCAGGACTGAGCCATGGTGGCTTAGTGATTAGTGTGCACTACTGCAGGCTACTTCTGCTGACTGCCAGCTGCTTGCAATTTGGCAGTTCAAATCTCATCAGGCTCAAGGTTGACTCAACCTCCCACCCTTCCAAGGTGGGTAAAATGAGAACCCAGATTGTTGGGGGCAATGGACTGACTCTGTAAACCGCTTAGAGAGGGCTGTAAAGCATTGTAAAGCGGTATATAAGTCTAAGTGCTATTGCTATGGACAATCGGCAAGCTTGAGTTTGAGACCCGATTGCTGCCTCAGGAGGGGTTGAGCTCCATCCAACGGTCCAGCTCCCATTGACCCAGCAGTTTGAAAGAGGACAACTGCTAATAGATAGAGGAGTACTACTTCTCTAGGCAACTTAACAGGAACCCCTAACTGGGCATCCATCAGGCAACGGTGATGTCACTGTTCAATCCTTTTAACCCAGAAGCACTTCGGGGCTCCTAACATGAATGTAGTAGTACTGAACTATGATTTCCTGCACCCTCCTTAATATTATGGGAAATGGCAAAGGGATGCTGAGAGCAGTTCTTCAGCAACACCTGTAGTTCTACCACCTCCTCATGTACTTTTATTTATTGGATTTTTATTCCATTTTTATTATTTTGTAAGTAACTCCAGGCAGCAAACATACTCCTTTCTTCTGCTTTCCTATAACAACAGCTCTGTGAGTCGGGTCAGGCTGAGCAAGAGTATCGAGCCCAGGGGTCTCCGACTAGCCCAAAGACACCCAGTTGGCTCTTATGCCTAAGGTGGGACTAGAACTCAGATTCTCCTGGTTTCCTCGCCAGCACTTTAACCACCACAGATAGTCCTTGACTTACAACCATTCATTTAGTGACCATTCAAAGTTACAATCGTGCTGGAAAAAGGGACTTAGGATTGGTTTTCACACTTATGGCTGCGGCAGCAACCCCATGGTCACATAATCAAAATTTGGGTGATTGGCAGCTGGCATGTATTTATTACAGTTGCACTGTCCAAAGTCAAGTGGGGGGAAAGCCAGATTTTCTTTAACGAGTGCACGGTTCACTTAACAGCTGCAGTGATTCATTTAACAGCTGGGGCAATAAAAGTCACAAAATGAGGCACAGCCTTCTTGCTTAGCAACAGAAATTTTGGTCATAAATTTTGGTCGTTAAATCAAGGACTACCTATTGTTAAAAACCAGTTACAAATGGGTGGGGGTACAGGTAATGAGACATGATAAATAGGCAGGAAATTCTCATTAACAGAGTAATGGACGATGATGTGAAAATGACAGGCTTGCATTACCTCAGCGTGGAGCTGCCCTGACAACACCTGAAACTTGCTGGAAATAAAGAATCTTACTTAGTTATTGAGGCATTCAGGCTGGCCACAAATCCAACAACTGAACTTCCTTTGGTCAGAGTGTCTTTATTGACATCAATGCCGACGACCATGAGGGACCTCAACTGTCAAATAAATAAACAACTGAATTAGAGGATGAAACAAAACCTGGTGTTTCTATGGGGATTTTACACGATTGATGTCCCAGGCCCAGCCATGAGGTAAGGCCTCTTGGATTACAGGTAGCCTTCCATTTCCGATGGGTTACTTTAGCAACTGCTCGAAGTTACGGCCGATCTGAAAAATGAGACTTACAACGTGGATTCACAGTTCTGACGGATGGGCCCCTTTTCTGTGCATTTTAAAGGTCCCATTAAGGACACTTACTGTACATAAAAAGCACATTGGAGAAAAGTATATAAAAAACTAAAGTATACTAAAATATTAAGTGTTACTAAAAGTATTTATGTTAGAGACTAAAGCACTAGGAAAGGCCATTCAGTGTATAAAAACTATAAGTCATAAAAATAGAGATTTTTAAATTGAGGCTTTAAAAAGAGCCGGTAATGCCTTTAAAAACTTGCATGATAGAATTAGAAAACTCTTCTAATAAATTAGATAGTGAAATATAAGCTGCGTATATAAAGTCCTTGAGCCCAAAATTTATGTTGTTAAGCGAGACAGGTGTAAAGTGAATTTCACCTGATTTTACCATCTTTCTTGCCAAAGTTCTTAAGTGACTCCCTTGCAGCTGTTAAGTTAGTAATACAGTGAAGTGAATCCAGCTTCCCCATTGACTTAGTTTGCCAGAAGTTTGCAAAAGGTGATCTTATGATCTGGGATACTGCAACATCATAAACATATGTCAGTTGCCAAATGTCCGAATTTTGATGATGTCTGAATTTTGATCATGTGACCATGGGGGTGCTGCAGTGGTTGGAAATGTGAAAAAAGGGGTCACAAGTCACTTTTTTCAATGCTGTTGTAACTTTGAACGGTCACTAAATGAACTGTTGTGACTCAAGGACCAACTGTATTGTCATTCCATTTCTTAGATGTACAATCAATATCATACTTCTATTTCTTGACATTCCCTGCTTGAAAGGAATAGGCAGACATTTTCAAGTGAACAAAAGCCTGACACGCTGTACAGAATTCTTAGAACAGACTGGATGATTATAAAACAGTTTTACATGTCAAGAGATAGATGGACAGACAGACAGGCAGACAGACAGACACACACACCATGTGACTATAACAGGATGGGACAGATTTCAGATGTCTTTCCTTTTCACTGAACTCCTGAGCCTGGTGCAAAGGTGTCTTTAAAGCCTGTTGAATGCCTGACCTCTGTTACATATTTGCCTCTTTCAATCCATAATATTCATCTCTAACAGCATGTGTTAGAGTGGGAAGGATTTAGTTCCTGCTGTTAGATAAACCAAAATCACAAACCATTGCTGATTGACTGTAAATCATTTCAGGTTTAGGCAAAAATCTTAACCTTACTTTCTATCCATGATATGATCAACACAGGGGTGGGATTCTACTGGTTTGGTTCTATAGAACCAGTTACGATTCTGCACAGATTCTGATGCTGCGTTCCCGCCGCACTCCGTTTTTTGCCTTCCTGGGTCTCAGGGAAGCCTCCTGGGAGAAACCCCCCCCCCAAGAGGCTTCACTGAGGCCCACTAGGCCAAAAATGGAGCATGGGGGGGTTACTGCGCAGGCCCCCCATGCACTCCATTTTTTGTCTTCCTGGACCTCAGGGAAGCTTCGGGGGGGGGTTGCTCCCAGGAGGCTTCCCTGAGGCCCAGGAGGCCAAAAAATGGAGCACACGGGGTGGGTGGGTAGGTACTACAAAAAAAAAAAAAAGAACCCATGTCCAGCCAGTCACATGGCCACGCCCACCTAGCAATGCCCACAGAACCGGTTGTTAAAAAGTTTAAATCCCACCCCTGGGTCAACATCTAGCTTCTGCAGAAAGTATCACTTACTGGTATTTCAACTGCCCAGAGCTCCCCTCCAAGCTTACAGATGATCTGCATAGCAATTTTTGTAGCCACACTCATCATCATTCCTTGTTTAGACAATGTACGGACGAGCACACACTGGCTAGGGATGGGCTGGTGAAGACTCAGGAACTTCTTCACAGAATCGTAACAGTCCTTCTTGTTGGAAGACAATATGCATAACACCTAGAAACAGAAACGAAAATAAGCAGAACCATCCAAGGAGCAAAGACTTATCACTGCTCCCTTCATGCAGATACCTGTTCCCTACAATGCTGTTCTTTTCATCCATCATGGCTTCATAAGCTACGATTCGGATTCAGACTCTGTGGTCACAGCTGAGCCTGAGGATTGTCAGCCTCAGGACTCTCTCAAGACAGGATTCCTCTGAGGAGGCTCATCAACCACAAGCATCTCCTGATCCTTTGGAGCAGTCAGTTGACGAGGTGTGACTCCCCAAGTCCCAGGTCTCGTGGTGGCAAGCGTAGCATTGTCGTTCAATGCAACTCCTTGCTGTGCAAACAGTGAGACTCGATTCATTGCAGCCGGCTGTCTGAGAGAGATTTATGTAGCTGCTTTGGGTTCGGCCTTTGTTGGAAACAGCAGCTTAGTATTCTGGCTTGTGGCTATTGTTCCTGCTTTTTTGTGACTTCTTGTCAGCTGACTACCTAATTTGGCATTCTGCAACTTCTCCAATTTATATAGATAGTCTCTTGTTTATTGAACTGTAATTGGCACTTTTCAGATAAGCTAGATATTTGAATAATGATCCTGTCTGCTATTATCTGTCTGAACTGTAGTAAATACTTCAACTCCTTAGCAAATGTCTCTGCCTGTGTATAGTTGCAACCTTGAAACAGAACAGTCACGCTATCAAGCCTTTTTAATATGTTGTATATAATATATAGTTTGGCCATAAGATTACTTTCCAAAAGATCTGGAGATGTTTCTTCTAAACCAGCAACCCTCAAGAACATCTTAATCTCTTAATCACAAACTATGAAGAAAAATGGAGAAGAAACATCTGAAGCTACAAACCAAGAAATCATATACATAATTTCTGGTGCGTGAGACTCAGAAATGCAACTTTCTCTTGAAGTCTCAATTGATATCTACTGGGTTCTTGTACTGCAGGTAGTCCTTGACTTACAACCATTTGTTTAGTTACTATTTGAATGTACAGTGGTATTGAAAAAAAAGTTGACTTATCATCATTTTTCACACTTAAACCGTTGCAGCTTTCCCACTCATGTGATCCAAATTCGGACACTTGGAAACTGGTGTATATTTATGATGGATGCAGTGTGCCAGGATCATGTGATCAACTTTTGCCATGTTCTGACAAGAAAAGTCAATAGGGAAGCCAGATTCACTTAACAACTGTGGCAAGAAAGGTCATTTTAAAAACCCATTTAACAACTGTCTCGCTTAGCAACAGAAATTTTGGGCTCAATTGTCATAACTTGACTACCTGTATCTAATTTTTAAATGTTTTAGATTATGTTAAATTTTTAAAATTGGAACTACGCTGTGAAGGAAAACATTAACTTTCAACACCGGTACATTATATTCCCAAATCATGTCTCCAAACTCTTGAGACATCCTTTAAATAATAAAACAGTGGATCTCTGCAACTCAGATTTTAAATGATTAAGTGATTTCTATTGGTACCTGCAGAGAAAAATAATGAAATGCAAACCGGGTAGAGGCAGTAGAGAACATTTGGGCACAGGAAGGAAAATATGGTGGCCGGAAGCACCTAGTCTGCCTTCTAATATGCATGTTTTGTGGCTGGCTCCACTTGTCAAGATGACCTGTTTCTAAGAGATCTGAGACAGATTGCTTTCAAAAACTTTCAAATCACTCTACCATTCCAATTAGAAGTGGTTCACTTATAAACTCTTCCAACTCTGATTCCATTCCTTTGGACTTCAGCATATTCTGGAAATAAAAGCAGTTTCCATATCATGACCTACGTGGTCCCTTCCAACTCTGTTAATCTGTAATCTGTAATCAGGATACAGGGACAGCTGTTGACATGCAAAACTTAGTCATAACTATACAAAATCTATGTTTCTATTTTGGCCAATTGTATTGCTTCTTTTGGAAAAACCATCCTTCAGGATTTTTCTTCTAGTGACCTGGATAATCAGCAGTTAATACACTTCAAATGCAATTTTTATCAATTCAGCATGCATACCAGCTGTAGCTCAGGATTCACGTGCTGTTGTAGGACTTTCACAAATGACATTGGGCCCTCTTTTATTGGCAAACTGCAGACCAAAATGAGAAAATATTAGAAAACAATACCCTTCTGACATTTTATGACACAGGGTGAAGCATATTTTTCAGGACACTATCTGCTTGTCAAAAATATGATGCCAAATGTAGATTAAAGTTCATCACCATTCTATCCATATAGTCAACATCTTTGTAGGTTATTAGTAACCTATATTTACTTTCTTATGAGTGAAACATGATGTAAAGCCTCGGCAACTCAAAAGCATGTTGGACTTCAACTCCCAGAATCCTCAGCCAGCATAGAGTTACCAAGGCTGAGAAACACTGGTCTATGGAGATATAATTCATATAACCTTATTTCGTTGTTCTGATATAACCTTATTTCGTTGTTCTCAAGTTTCTGAGTACAATGACAATAAATTTATCTATCTATTATATAATTCAAAGAAACAGACAACATGCATGGGACCAATTAAATGGTCATAAATTAGAATACTTTGCTTGCCCAAGCTAAATTAGGATTTTCCATTAAGCCTGGTTTTTAAAGCAATGTGATTTTCAGATAAGGATGATTTCACATAAAGGACCATTTTGTGTCTTCTTTTTATTTTCCCAGGCTTTTTAATTGCCTTATAATTGTATTTGTTTCTAAAAGGCTGTTGTGTTGCTGCCTAGTTTATGTCATATTTTTATTTATTGATCCAATTTATATGGCCGCCTAGCTGAATAAATAATTCTGAGCAGCAAACAGAATTCAAATAAAATTAAAAACAAGAGGAAGAATCAGAAGGAACCTAAGCATGAATAGACTCCCTCAGTTGGTGAAGCTGATCCAAGCTGTGATAGTTATGCAAGATGGCCACTGGGCTATACCAAACGGTGGGGGTTTCAATAATGTAGCCGCGACTGCCATCTTGATTTTTATGAGGGTTCTTCTTTCTGCAGATCCTTCACTCATGTTGTGTCAAATGCATCATGAGGCTCTTAAATAATGTGGCTGATTAAACATAGTGATGGGTCATCCTGCCATTATGGAATAATGAAGTCAGGCCCCTTTATCCAGTGTACAGTCAAAAGCAAGCAAACAGTCGGTTCTGCTCCTCCTAAAATTTACTAAAATGTCTATCTGATTTAGAAAGCTAGGCTTAAAATGCTTGATAAGTACACATTAAAAAGGCCAATTAAAATGCCTGAGGAATGAAGAATTCAGCATAGCTCACATTGTGGGATATTGAAGATGAAAATTCATGGGACTTCCTACTCTTCTCAAGCAATTCAAAAAATTATGGGTCAGATCTGTATGGTTGTAACTACACAGGACGAGCCATCTCTCCAGACGAGTCTCGCTGATTGTCTTCATATTGCGCAAATCCTTGAACCAGTCCCCAGGGTTCACTGGAGAACACTGCAGGGGGAAAAAAGGAACAAAAAAGCATAAAGACATCAGTCACTGAAAAACAGCTCTCAAAAAAAGGGGAGGGGCAAATGCCATTTCAAAGGCTTTGAAGGAAGTAGTTCTGCAAACACCATTGCATGATGTGGATGACATGGATAACCAGCCTGTGTTACTTACTGTCTCATTCTGCATGAGGATTTTCTCTGGGGAGACCACACGTCCGGTCAAGGAAGCCTGGCATCCCATCTGCAACCCCCAATTTTCTAATTCAAAGCGAGCGTCTTTATTTCTGAAAGAAAACGACAACCCTCAAATCAATTGGATCAAGAAGCTTTTGTATACTTTTCAATTATACTGATCATTGGGAAGCAAAACCTGATCATTTTTATCTTTAGAGGGGCTTACTGTATCAGAAGAACACAGCAAGATTTTATTTTAAGACATTCAAGCTCTCTATTGGAAATATAATTCATGCACACTATCTTCCCACCAAAGTGGTACCTATTTATCTACTTGCAATTGTATGATTTCGAACTGCTAGGTTGGCAGGAGCTGGGTGAGGACGGGAGGGAGCTCACCCCATCGCATGGAGCTTGGTCTCAAACCTGGCCTACCAGCTTTCCAGTCAACAAGCCCAGTATCTATCTTAACCCCTGAGCCAGCACATCCAACACATCACCTCCATAAACCCAGGGGACATCTTAATCGGGGCAGGTTTCTTTAAGTGATAAGTAACTGAGGCCAGTCCTTGTTTATCTTGGTGAAAATGGCAGCTGGAAGAAACCCCAGTATTTGCAGACATTTAGGAACTGTTCATCATAATGACCAGCACAGGTCTGGCTTCATTGTCAACCATGGAAGATTTCAGAGTGACTTTGGGGTAGTCTTTCTTTCAACCTAACCAGCCCTGCAAGGGAGCTGTTTAGGTAAAAAAAAAAATAGGAAGGACCCCAACATTTTGAGCTTCTACATTAAAAGCATGTATATATCTAATCAATAATATTAAACAAAAAAATAATTAGCATCAGACATTTCTGGAGAGTATTTTTCAGTACTGAAGGAATTCCTCTGAAACTATTCATTTGTATTTCGGACTATAGCCCTTGTTTCTGAAAACCGATGATACTTTAACTCCATCTAGTGGTTAAAAATGAAGAAGCAAATCTGTACACATTGAGTGAACTGAATCTTGAATTCAGTGAGACTTAACTTCGCAGGAGACATGATGGTATGTCCACCATAAGTTCAATTATTGAGGTTGAGTGCTGATTTTTTAAAACATTAAATCGTCATGTTATGTCAATTCAAGCAGGAGATAACCATGATTCTTTCCTGAAACAAGGTGTGTTACCTGTTCTTATACTTATTTAAGTACTTCTAAACCATTTCCCTATCTGGATCCCTTCCAGGGCCATAAATAGGAAGTGAGAAACTGCCATTGACATTGGAAAAAGAGTCATACTGTTCTATACACTAGTAATGGGTCAAATTTATCACTGATAGGGATCATTCAGATAGATATGCAAATTGCAATCAGGATGGAGGCACCCTGTTTTATATCTTGCTGTCTCCTTTTAAATATCCAATTACCTTAATACAGGGGTGTCAAACTCGATTTCATTGAGGGTTGTGTTTGACCTGGGGGGGAGGGGGCCCCCAGCTTGACAACACTCATGTCAGGAATGCCTGTTGTGGCTCAAGTGCTGTGCCAGTGAAAACGGAGCTTGGGAGGGTTGTTCGCGGCCCTCCCCAGCTCCGTTTTCGCTGGCAGAGGCACTGTGGGACAGTCCTTTGCTGTTTCCAGGTGGCCCCACAGGCCAGATCTAAGCTCCCCATGGGCTGGATTCAGCCCTCGGGCCTTGAGTTTGACACCCCTGTCTTAATACAACAAGCTAAAGGCAAAATATGGAATATATAAACTTAGGAATTCATGGAGTCTGCTCATTATGGTCAGAAGTTGTGACACCAACCAAACTTCATAGAACATTACCTCTGAATGTTGTCAGCAAGTCTAGACAGCCGTTGATGTCTCTGTTGTGGGGATAAGTGAGTGTGTTGAGCGAGATCTTTCATCAAGCGAAAGTCTGAAGTTGCATGTCTGCTAAGCCCTAACGTTAAAAAAAAAAGGGGGGGGTTATTTTGCTAAGCTCTAAGCCAGTAAGCAGCACACAGGATCAAAAGAATGGTTGAAAACCAAGAATCAGAGATATCATATCATTACAGCCCTAACCAGAGGTCTTCCCAGTTCAAGCTTAGCTTTCAATATCTACTTTTATAACTTCCCAGCCAGAGGATGTAAGAAGATAAACGTGAAGCCCAACTCCTGATGCCGATCCAAAACAGCTTTGCTACAGCCTTTCTCCAATTCTAGCCTGCAATTTTAGTGGGGGGGGGGAGCTCCTGTACAAGTATTAACCACATATGGTTTTTAAAATCAGATGTATGCTATAACCTAGCTGAGATCATCTCCCTTCATCCGAGAGATCAGACCGAGATGACTCCTCCATGGCATCTTCCCAGTCAAACATGAGTCAGGATCTTAATTCTAAAGTCCCAGCAAGCACTTGTTCGTCTAGCAAACCCCTGACTCTTCCAAGCCCATTTGAGGTCTTGCGTGGTCATAAATAGATGCTGGAACCACAGCTCTCCTGATTAGAGGTCTAATACTTCTTAGTATGTCACCTACAGGGAACTCTCCAGGGTCCTGATACTGCTGGGGATCAGAATATTTGTAGTTCGGGGCTGAAGCTGATAATGTTAACTAGTTTGGGTAATAAAACGTCTGCAAGAAAACAACCAAGCTTGTAGTGATGCTGTTCGATACAATCTTCTATTAAATTGTTTAAGATAAATATTCAGGTTATTGTGGAGTAACTGTATTAAAAACCTCCGGTATTCTGATTTGTCATAGTTCAGTGCTCTGTCTAAACAGAAGACACTTGTTATATAATTTTGCCACTACATCTATCATATTAATAGGTCTTCAGCTGCTTGATTTAAGTCTTTTCTGAAGAAGGGAATAACAATACTGGTATAGGTAGGCCTTGACCTATGATTGTAATTGAGCTTGAAATTATGGTCATAGATCACTGCAGTTATTAAGCAGGTCAACACATGACCGGCTCTGGTTTCACAACCTCTTTTGTTAAGCAAATCAATTTTATTCATGGGCATTTTTGGCCAGAAACTCGAAATTAAATGCCTGAAACTGGCAAAAAAGCAACAATAAAAATCATGATCAGACAGACGACTATGAGACATTGCAATCAGCCATAAAGGTGAGCCGGTTGCCAAGTATCCAAAATGTGATCTTGTGCTCTTTTATGCTGCAAGATCAAATCTGGATCAGTCACCGACATAGATTGGATCTTGTCTATATTCAAATTTTCATTTGACTAGAAACTTCATCCCAAATTTTTGAATATTGCAGAATTGGCTAAACAGAATAGAATAGAATTCGTTATTGGCTAAGTATGATTGGAGACACAAGGAATTTGACTCTGGTGCATAAGTTCTCAGTGTACATACAAGCAATAAGTGATAAACCATGATCACAGTCATCGTAATAAAGATAAGGTCAGAATGCTAACAACTGTTTGGATGAGCCCAATTACATTGGTTTACCTGTCATGTAGCAAAGTTCTGGGATTAGATGCACCACACGGGGCTCAGCAGAACAGTTGCCTCTATTCTTCAGTTGGCTAACAAGCATTGGTTGATTCAGATCAGTTATGACTACATCGTATTGCTGTTCACCGAAATATGAGATCAGAAGAAAGCAAGTCAGCTCCATTCCATATCCCTGATGCTATAGTTCAGTATTCATCAACCGTAGCAACTTCTTTTAAGATGTCTGGATTTCAATACCCAGCATGCTGGCTGGGGAATTCTGGGACTTGAAGTCCAGACATTTTCCACTGTTAACAGAACATGTTGTTTTCCTAAATATTTAATATGTTTCCTAAGTACTTAATATATTGTCTTATCTTGTTGTTCCCTATATTTTTATAGCTATTTTTTAAAAAATTTTCTAGGTTTGTGCAGTACTTAAGATACACATAGTAAGATTGCTTTAAAATGTGCAAGAGGACTCACAAGTTACCTGCCTACTATCTTTAAAGAAATTGTCTTTAAATTATCTTGTGATAATCTGATTGGACCATAGCAATTAAATAATTCCGAGAAAACAATGAGCCGTTAAAGATTTGAAAAAAGATGCTAGGAATTCTGAATACAGGTAGTCCTTGGCTTACAACAGTTCATTTAGTGACTATTCAAGTTACACTGGCACTGAAAAATATAACTAATGACTGTTTTTCACAATTATGACCTTTGCAGCATTGCCAATGTCATGTGATCAAAATTCAGACAAGCTTGGCAACTGATTCATATTTGTGATGGTTGCAGCGTCATGAGGTCGTATGATCCCCTTTTGTGATCTTCTAACAAGCAAAGTCGACGGGGAAGCCAGATTCACTTAACAACTCTGTTACTAACTTATCAATGGCAGTGACTCACTTAACAACTGTGGCAAGAAAAGTCATAAAATGGGGCAAAACTCCATTAACAAATGTCTCATTTAACAACAGAATCTGTGGCCTCAATTGTGCTCATAAGACGAGTGTTACCTGTAAACCGGGTGTCAAACTCAATTTCACTGAGGGCTGCATCAGGGTTGTGTTTGACCTCGGGGGGCTAGGGTAGATGTGGCCAGCTCGATGTCACTCGTGTCGGGGGGGGGGCTGTGGTGGGCTGAGCATTCTGCCAGCAAAAACAGGCTCCTGAGCTCCATTTCCAGTTGCAAAATCTAGCTCCATTTTTGCTGGCAAAGGCACTTTGGGATGGTCCTTCACGGTTTCTAGGACACTCAGAGGGCCAGATCTAAGCACCCTGCGGGCCAAAACTGGCCCACGGGTCTTGAGTTTGACACCCAACTGTAAATTGTTTCCACTTATGAACAAAGCAATGCATAACCAAATATTTTCTGGATCTGGCATTTTTATCCACCTATCAAGTCCTTCCCAAGACCCTGAAACAAGCAGATGTTTGATGGTATTAAAGATTTATTGTTATTATTCTATTAAGACAAGACACCCTGAGAGTTTTTGTCAATCTGCCATCCTTCAGATCTGTTGGATTATAGCTCTAATGTGACCAGTTTGGGAATGCTAAAAATTATAAGTCAGTACAATTAACGGTGCCACATTTACAAACATTGGAGAAGAGTCTTCATGCAATATCCAGATTCTCGATTACCTGTTTGTAATAATCCTCATAAGAGATCTGGGTGCCATCACGCTTCTGGAACGTATCTGTTGGTTTTATAGACCATTCAATATCATCAATACGATATGTTTTGTTGTTGTACCTGAAATGCCAAGTAAAAAAAAAAATCAAAATAAACTGGATAGTCTATGTATCCTCTAATGTGCCCTGACATAACTCTTTCTTCTACACGCCCACAAAAACCAAATTAATGATATAATTAAGTATAATAAAATATAGGTGTGTAGGTAAAATTCCTGTTCTTTTGTGGAAAAAAAATACATGTTGTCACTTTTCAGGAGAGACAAAGTATAATGAGGCATGATAACTATTTTGTGTGTTGTTTTGTTAATTTGCTGGTCCAGATTTTTGTTTAAACATATTTTTTAGAATAGAATAAAATTCTTTATTGGCCAGGTGTGATTGGATACACAAGAAATTTGTCCATATGCTCTCAGTGTACATAAAACAAAAGATTCATTTGTCAAGAATCAAAGCACAACACATAATAATAGTCATAGGGTACAATAAGCAACAAAGTTACAGTTATACAGTCATAAGTGGGAGGAGATGGGTGAAAGGAAGGATGGGAGGATTCATAGTAATAGTAATGCATACTTAGTAAATAGTTTGACAGTGTTGAGGGAATTATTTGTTTAGCAGAGTGATGGCATTCAGGAAAAACCTGTTCTTGTGTCTAGTTGTTCTGGTGTGCAGGGCTCTATAGCGTCATTTTGAGGGTAGGGGTTGAAACAGTTTATGTCCAGGATGTGAGGGGTCTGTAAAAAAATTTCACAGCTCTCTTTTTGACTTATTCTATTTATTAGTCTTGCTGTGTACTTAGGAATAAGTTTGGTAAATAAAATTTATACAGTTTCTTACTATGAACTATCTTTCAAGATACCAAAACAACATCATAAAAGTATTATTTACCGTATTTATCGGCGTATAACACGCACTTTTTCCCCCTGAAAATAGGGGGCAAATGATGTATGCGTGTTATACGCCGATGTCCAGGGAGCGGAATCCTCTTTAAGGGATCCCGTTCCCAATAGTGCCTAGCGGCGGCGCAGCATCGTGACGTGATGTCAGCGCTGCGCCCACCGCATATTTTTTTCCTGAAATTTCCCTCTTAAAGGGAATGCGTGTTATACGCCTGTGCGTGTTATACGCCGATAAATACGGTACATTAAAAGAGATACAACAGCATCACTTAAACAAAATAAAACCAGCCAAGATTTATTTTTTTCCCACTACTGGAGAAAAACAGTCCTAAATATACCAAGAAGGAAAAAAATAACACCTGCAAGTGAAATTGTAGAAAAACAAATTTGTTTTTTCCCAAAATTATTCCTTAGCTTAGGGTGGTCAGTAAAATTTCTGGATCATTTGCAAGCAGAGTGAAATACTTTCCAAGCCCAAATTAGGATTGATGTAAGCATAAGATATAATAACAGTAAGTGGGTTCATGCAAGAAAAGACAATGAGAAAAACTTGATTTCTGGTTTTAGAATGTGTACTGGAGTACCTAGCTGAAATAACTTAAGATTCTAGTAGAACAAATAAAATGAGATTTGACCAGATTGATATATGACTGAAAGTTGATGTAATTGTTGCATATTATATTATTTATTTGGCAGATGTGTGGAATTATTACATTTTGATGGTTATTGGATTGGAAAGAATGTTGTTTAAGAGATAATTTTATGACTGAACCAACATATAAGCCTAAGGAAAAAATTAATCTCGCCATCCAATCAAATGACTTTGTGCGGTATAAAACACAGTTTAAAAAAATCCATACAAATTAATAATATTAATATTTTAAAAAATCTTTAAATTATTAAAAGTAAAAAAACAGAATAAAAATAAATTTGGCAGGTATTAATTACCCAGAAGCCATCTTAGTATTTCCCCAAATTCCTATGTAAGTAAATTCTAAAATATACAATACAAAACTACTAAATGAGTCAAAATTCTGAGTCTGCTCTTAAATGGTTGAAGTTAGCAACTGAAATGAATATGAAGTTACTAATGCTTAAAAAGACATGGTTTCCATAAGGTTAAATTGTACCTTGTAAGAAAAATAAGCCCCACCAATTCCTTCTCACAGTTTTCTGGAAAACAGGTCCTCTCTGAATTATTATACAGATTAGTCATGAACTCCAAAACATTTTCACTCCGAAGGACTTTGTGGCTCACATCTGCACAAAGCATGACTTTGTTCTCAAAGTGTCCAACAGAAACCGCAAATCCTGGCCAAAGAACCAGCCTAAAAGGGGTAGACAAAGACCTTTTGAGTTAGTTTATTTACACAGACTCCAAGCAGCCCGTCAATGGACAGAACACATGCATACATGTGCAAAGCACACAAAAAAAGTTAAGGATGAAACATTCTGACGTAGGAAAGGGGCCTCTAGAAACACTTTGAAGCAACATTTGCATTAAAAAAAAAACATCCTGAAATCTAAGGTCAACATCACTCTCTCCTCTGAGCACGCCAAGAATCAAACCCAGATGGCAAAATGGGTAGTTACTTCCTTAATGGAATGGAGCTGTAATGTAACTCCGGCTGCAAGGTTGGGGGAGGAGAAGCCACAGCCCCCTTTTGCAGGGGGGTTGAAGTATAATGGCCTGGGTACCTTATTTTGATCTCATTTGTTTGTTCAGAGTTTATAACGACTGCCTGTTCTGCTCTGTAAGCAGGGTTTTACTATGATTTATGAATTTATGAAGTTCATAAAAGTTTATGAAGTGCCATGATTCCATTTGTCACAGTAGTCCAGGGAGTGAGTAAATATGTCAATAAATAAGGGGGAGGGTGTGGGTTCTGTAAACATCATCATCATCATTATTCCAGTTGGTCACACAGTCAGCCAGTTGTTTAGATGGGATGTGGCATTTTTGTCTACCTATTACAGCCCAGGAAAGCCAAAAGGTGGAACACCCCTGCCCTAAGCAGTCAAGCATATCATATGAACCAACTCTGTGGTTTATGGGACGAGAAAACAATATTCATTAGTTAAACGATGGATCAAGTAACCATAGCTAATGTTCTGCAAGTACAGGTAGTCCTCGGCGTACAACAGTTCACTTAGTGACTGTTCAAAGTTACAATGGCACTGAAAAAAGGTGACTTATGGTCGTTTTTTACACTTAGGACCATTGCAACATCCCCCATGGTCCCATGATTTACATTTGGATGCCTGACAACTGATCACGTTTACGGGTGGTTGCAATGTTGCGTGACAAGTGACCTTCTGACAAGCAAAGTCAATGGGGAAACCAGATTCACTTAACAACCAAGTTACTAATTTAAGAACTGCCGGGTTTCCCTTAACAAAGGTGACGAGAAAAGTCATAAAATGGGGCAAAGCTCACTGAACAAATTTCTCACTTAGCAACATAACGTTTGGGCTCAACTGTGGTCCTAAGTTGAGGACTACCTGCATAGCTTCTGATTCATTTTGGATTACTTGTCATCCATCAACACAGCTTATCTCCCAATGAGATAAGGCTACAAATAATATATGGATAAAATGGTGTCAATCAGATTAATGGATAACTTTGAAAAAAATTATCTCAACAGATAATTAGTTATTCATGGATGAAATAACTTTTTTTGCCACAGAAATATTTAGGCTGCAAAGATTTCAAGGTGAGCTATCCAACTCACTTGTGTTGAGGGACTTCCACGGGATCAGAGGGACTGTAGAAGTTTTGTCCAATCTGATACATTGACAGCTTTTGTAAAACCCTGGTATTGAATGTAAGTATATATATTGTATTAGTACACGGCAGCAAATATTGTATCATTTCAACACTGATAAATTGAAACATACACATTTTGCAATGTAACCAATCATTTAAAATAAAATGTTCAACGATTCCTCATCAAACTCAACTGCTACAAGGTTTCGTCCATTATTCAAAATTTGTATACATGATTTGGATGAAGTGGTAAATGCAAGCAAGATTCTGTTCTGAGAATCACTCTCCATAAAAACTGTTTTAGCCTTCTAGTGGAGTTGACAAGGCTGACCTAAATCCTGCAAGTCTGACTAAGAGGTATCTCCTTCCACTTCTGATACTCCTATGATTTAGGGAGGTATGTATGTGTGACTCTTTTCTGTCTATAACAGACTTAGGATACGTTTTACCTTGGACGCTTGTGTAATGGAACTTGTATATTTTTTGTCCAGGTTATCTTCTTTACTATCTATATAGAATAGATTGAGCTCGAAGGGACCTTGGAGGTCTTCTAGCCCAGGCCCCTGCTCAAGCAGGATAACCTATACCATTTCAGATAACTGACTGTCTAGACCAAGGGTCTTCCAACTTGGCAAGTTTAAGACTTGTGGACTTCAACTCCCAGAATTCCTGAGCTAACATAACTGGAGGAGGAATTCTGGGAGTTGAAGTCCACACGTCTTAAAGCTTGAAGACCCCTGGTCTAGACTCTTCTTAAAAACATCCAATATGGAGCACCTATGATTTCTGAAGACCAGCTGTTCCACTGGTTAATTGTCCTCACTGTTAGGAAGTTTCTCCTTAATTCCTGGTTGCTTCTCTCTTTGATTAGTTTCCAACCATTGTTTCTTGCCCTGCCCTCTGGTGCTTTGGAGAATAATTTGATCCCCCCCTCTCCTTTGTGGCATCCCCTCAAATACTAGAATACTGCTTTCATGTCACTCTGAATTCTTCTTTTCTTTAAACTAGCCAAATTCAAATCCTGCAGCTGTACTTCATGTTTTAGTCTCCAGGCCTTTTAATTGCTCTTCTCTTCTCCATTCTACCCAAGACACAGTGGGCTTTCAATTCCAGAGACCTCTCAAAAAGAAAATTTGTATAAGATGTTTTACAGATGGCATTTTCCCCCAACAAGAATAGCAAGAATGTTCAAGAACAAATCTGAAAAATGTTGGAAATGTCATCAGATACCTGGCTCATATTACCATATGTGGTAGACTTGTGCGGATGCCAAAAAATATTGGACTAAAATCCACATGTGGTTGGAAAAAAATGACAAAAAAGCATACAGACTTGAAACCAGAGATATTTTTATTGGGAATTTTACCTGAAATATATAGTAAAGAATTGAAATATCTGATTGTAAATGTATTAACAGCGGCTAGGATTGTATTTGCCAAAAACTGGAAAAATAAGAAAATACCATCACAGGAGGAAATTATTAAGAAAATATTGGAATGTACTGAAATGAGTAGATTGACATTTGAAATTAGAGAACAAGATGATAAACAATTTTATAAAATTTGGGATCTATTCTATCAATAGTTAGACAATAAAACAGGGTAATGAAATATTTAGACCTTTAGAAAATAATAAATATATAAAGATGTATTTTTTTCTTATTATATCTACAAAATGATTGTAGGGTAGATTTGAGTTGATAATATGAACTGTCATAAAACAAATTAAGTAAAATACGGATTATTTCCTAAAACATGAATGAATAATAGTATAGTCAAATGATTTACAATGATATTAATGTATTTAATATTTGATTGAAAATATTAGAATATATACAATGTAATTGTAATTGAAGATTATGAAATGGAAGCACAAAACAATTTGTAAACCAACCGACACACTGTATGTATGTATATATATATGGAAGATGGCTTGATGTTTTTATGTTTTGTTTATCTATGTTTGTCTTAAAAAACAATAAAAAAAATTTTAAAGGGAGGGATTTATGATTCCAATCTTCAAATGAAAAATAATCTCTTGATCACAAGTAGAAATCATTCAATTGAAGTGCGTCTAGTTCTACCGGTAGATATAGAACCACAGAACCGGATAGCTGGAAGGACCTGGGAGGTTTTCTAGTCCAACCCACTGTCCAAAGCAGGAGTCCTTATACAATCCTGGACAAATGGTTGTCCAATCTTTTCTTGAAATCCTCAAATGATGGAGCACTTGAGTAAGAATTTAGCCTAAAACTGTGACTTTTTTCCTTCTTTCTACTTTCCCCCCTCCCAAAAAAGTAAGACTCACTTTTTAAAGAGGAGGTTTAAGAACTGAATGCACACAGGATTGCTGGAAAAAAGCTGGTGAGTTAATTGGACTGTTATCTTTACCATATCCCCTCTTCGGGTTTCACAAGACAGTTCTGTGACCTAAGAGGAAGAGAATATGCAATTCAAATTTAAATTCAATTGCAAGAAATTAAATACTAACTGTTAAATATGCATGACGCTACATCTACATAACCCCATAACCTCATATGCAAAGTGTAGTCTGATGTCAGACTCCTATTTATTGGTTTCAGCCACTGGCGCAAATATCGGAGATCCGTCAATGGCTGAAGTGTTGGACAGCGCCAGTTATAAAAAGCCGGCACTGGCCGTGATTGTGGCTTTTTTGAATCCGCTTGTAAATAAAGAGTTCTCTACGATTCTGAGTCCGTTCCTTCCTTACTAACACCTACTTAACACTGGTGACAAAGGTGGGATTCTGAGGAAGACAAAGGACCTCGTGGGGACACCACGGCCATCTTCCAGCTGACTCGGAACGCAACTGTTCAGACCGACAGCAAATCGACAAGGCCCATCGACCCCTATTCATCCCATTTGAACCAACCAAAGAGAAATGGTCTTTGTACATGGGAAGATTCAACCTGTGTTTGCGGTGAACAGGATGAAAACAGAATCTGACAAAAAGAAGGTTTACTTCTTGACTTATTGAGATTCAGAACTCTACGAACTACCCGAAGCCCTCATTGCAGATGATTTAGATAACGTCTCCTGGGACCAACTGCAATGAGCATTGAAGGGATATTTCGACCCTACCCCGTCGTATTTGGCAAACCAGAACGATTTCTGTATCCAGAGCCAAAAAGAAGGGGAAAGTATAAGTGACTTTGTGGCCACGCTAAGAAAATTGTCAAAAAACACTGAAGAGATGATCCGGGATCATTTAGTCCTTGGTCTTAGGGATTTAACACTGCAGAAAAGACTGTTCGCTAGAGAGGATGTCTCATTCAAGCAGGCCCTGGAAGAACCAAAAGCAGTCGAAACATCCAAATCCTCAGCAGCCTGGGTCAAGGGAAATAACAAGGTCCACGCCACACAAGCTGCGAGGAGAACCTTGCATAGTCCATCTGGCTCCAAAAGCAGCGACAGCGAGGAGGAGGATGTTCATCAGGTGAAGACCAATAAATCTGAAAATGGCAAGGGGACCAAACCGTGTGGAATTTTCTGGAGAAATCACCCTCGTTCCACCTGCCGCTTTACGGAGGCAATCTGGAGGTGATGTGAGAGGTAAGGCCACATCTTGGATGCCTGCAGAGCCAGCCAACCAGCAGACAAACCGAGCCGGGAGTGTTAAACTTTTATAATATATTCTTACCACAGAAGGCGACTTTAGTGGAACCACTACATAGACTGTTGGATAAGAATACAACTTGGAGGTAGGGACCCCCTCGAAGATACCGCATTAGCAGAAATAAAAAACATCTTAACCTCGGACACAGTTTTAATACAATATAGCGAGACCCTGCCGTTACGATTAACGTGCGATGCATCTCAATATGGCATTGGGGCAGTTCTGAGCCTTAGGCTACCAAACAGAAGGGAAGCCCCCATAGCATATTTTTCTAAGACTTTGCTGAAAGCCAAAAGAAACTACGGCCAAATAGATAAGGAAGCCCTCGCCGCTGTAGCCGGGATAAAACGCTTTCATGAATACCTATACGGCAGACACTTTCAGTTGGTCACCGACCACAAGCCACTACTGGGCATCCTTTCAGGAAACAAACCCACACCAAATATTTTATCGCCGAGAATGCTAAGATGGACAGTTTTCCTGGCAGCGTATAACTACTGCCTGCTTCACATACCTGGAAAGAGCATTCCGCATGCCGATGCGCTCAGCCGATGCCCCCTACCAGATCTAGTGGAAGATCCTGCTCCCACGCCTACTGTATTCCTTGTAGAACATTTTGAACCAAATTTGGTGACAGCGGCGGATATTGGGAGACTCACCGCAAAAGACAAAACCTTGGCGTGAGCTTTGAACTGGGTATGGCGGGGGTGGCCGGACAAGATGGAAAGGGAGGAATTCAAACCATTCAAAGACAGACAATTGGAACTGTCAGCATTAAGGGGATATTTGTTATGGGGTGAAAGAGTGGTGGTACCGAATCCATTAAGGGAAAGAATCTTGGGGTTAATACATGAGGGGCACCCAGGGATAGTAAAAATGAAGGCCCTAGCGAGGAGTTACATCTGGTGGCCAGGCATAGACAAAGACATTGAAACCTGGGTCGCCACATGTGCACCATGTCAGAAGTCCCGACCGGCCCCTCCCAGCCCCCCCCCTTAAATGGGAAAAGGCCGCAAAACCATGGGGGCACATACACATAGACTTTTCTGGACCCTACCAGGGACAAATGTTCCTAATTGTGGTCAACGCCTACTCTAAATGGTTGGAGGTGGTCATTATGAAATCCACGACAACCGAGGCAACGATCAAAAGCCTACGGAAAACATTTGCTACCCGACGTACTAGTTTCAGACAGTGAAACTCGCAACTCACAGCACAACAATTTGAAAGTTTCCTCGCCTGTTTAGGGATCCGACATGCCCTATCGGCGTCAGCTCATCCGGCGGAGAATGGACAAGCGGAGAGGATGGTGCAAACGACTAAGGAACTCCTAACAAAACTAGGCCACAGCAATTGGTAGGAAAAAATCGACAAATTATTGCTAACTCAACACATAATGCCAAGTGCGGCAACAAACAATAGTCCAGCAGAAATGCTCATGAATAGAAAATTACAAACCACGCTAGAAAAAAATTATTCAGATTATACCAATGAAATCCCTTTAGACTCCACAGGAAAGTGCAGAATATTCATGCCAGGAGACACGGTGTATGCACGTAACTACACCCAAGAGGAAACCTGGGTCCCAGCAAGAATAGTCGAGATTACCAGACCCAGATCATACAGACTGGAGGTAGAAGGGGGACGAACATGGAACAGGCACATAGACCAACTACGGGGCTGCACGGTTCAACCCACACACGAAGCCAAACAACGAATCACATACCCAACAACAACAAGACCCCGAGAAGTAGAATCCTCAAGGAAACACCTATTAGCAAGAACAACCCCGAAAAGAATAGAGGAGGATTTAGCTTTGGGGGGAGGAGTCCAGTGTAGTACATCTGAGGCCTCTAGCTCAACAGAAACTGCCAAGCCTCCGGAAACATTCGAGGCATTTCCAACGGTGGAGTCTGGAGCAGTGGCGGACCTGTCTGCTCAGGCCGCCACCTCAGGAACAACTGAACAGCGCAGGCCCAGTCACAACCACAAAAGTCCTGCCTACCTGAAAGACTACGTTTGCTGCGTTTGCGGTGATTGGTCAGACTGAACTAAGAAGGGAGGGGTGTTAAATATGCATGACGCTACATCTACATAACCCCGTCACATGCAAAGTGGAGTCTGATGTCAGACTCCACTTATTGTTTTCAGCCACTGTCGAATATCGGAGATCCGTCAGTGGCTGAAGTATTGGACAGCACCGGCTATAAAAAGCCGGCGCTGGCCGCGATTGTGGCTTTTTTGAATCCGCTTGTAAATAAAGAGTTCTCTACGATTCTGGGTCCATTCCTTCCTTGCTTACACCTACATAACACAAACTGTTTTAAAGTACAATTCCTTCCTGGTAGTTGCTTTCTGACTAAAGCTTGTGGAGCTTTTTTAAAAAACCATTTTATGAATAGAATAATTCTTCCTTGCCATTAAATAAAGCAAAGATCTGCTTATTTAACTTACAGATGCCAGTATCACTTGTAATAATGAGTAATGAAAGATAAACAGGGTGAGGGCTTGAAATTGAGCTGATTCAAGAGCCAAAACAATCATGGGCTATGGGACTAAACCAGAACGATCACATATTTGCATGCTTCTTTGCCCTCTGACAGAGGGTGCGACGAATATTGTAAATATATCCAATTGTTCTGCTGTTTTATAATTAACCACAATGATAAAACAATGTAGGCTTTGCCTTATATCTTTGTTAGGGCAGAGTCAAAACATTTAACAGACTGACTGACTGATTGAACTTGTTTAATGCTGTAGAAGTCAGCACTCAAACAGAAAAACAAGGTGCGGGATGATACACCGAGGAGTATGAAGCGAAGAGAAATGGAGAAGACAAAAAAAAATGAAGTGTCTTGAATCACATTTGTTCTGTTCCCACAGTATTTCTTGCTCTGGAAGGACAGGATTAATTTATTTCTGTTTAGCTGGCTTATAGGTAAGTTTGGCAACCCTATCTTTGCTGGCCAAAGTAGGTGTAGCATGTAACAACAGAGTCAGGTAGCGCATTCTAGGCATTGACCACTCTGTTGCTGAAGTTGTACTTTCTGCAATCAAGTTTGGAGCAGAAGCTCACCCCATCTTTGTTAATGGATGGGCCATTAAGGCCTGGGCCAGAATATTCTACATAACAAAGCCCTCTACCCATCTCACCACCTGGCCTGGGAAGATTGCATCAGCCAGCACTCAGGTGAAGCCATGTGGTTCAGACAAAGCCTACAAAATTAGCTAAGACACCCACCCCTGGGAGTCTGACAGCCAATCGGATGCATTTCTTACATAGGAACAGGAAACACTAAGGTGTGGCCTAACAGAGGTTATAAAACAATTGCACCCTCAGCATCTTGCCCCTTTTCCTTCTTTTCCTTCACCCAACATCTTGAAGCATGTGATCATCCTTTTCGCTTTGGAGCTCCAAGCCATGTGGTCCTGTCCACCATTAAACCATCTTTTCAAACAGCCTCCATGTTTCCAGTGTCTTTTTCCCCACATGGAACTGAACCCACAAGAATAATTCTTCCAACAATTACTGCCCATTTCTTATCTCTTTACTTCCTGTTATAAGCACCAATGAGAACAAAAAAGGAAGTGAGACCATTCCGGCCTCCATCTTCCATTCAGAAAAGCCACTTGGTTTTTCAGCTGCAATCTCGATCCATCCAGGGGTTTCGCAGGCGAGTAGCGTGCCCTCAAGGTATTCCTCGAGGTACGACCACAATTGAGCCCAACAATTTATGTTGCTAAGTGAAACGTTTCTTAAGAGAGTTTGCCCCATTGTACGACCTTTCCTGCCCCTTGCTGTTAAGTGAATCATTGCATTTGTTAAGTTAGTAACATGGCAGTTAAGTGAATCTGGATTCCCCATTGACTTTGCTTGTCAGAAGGCCGCAAAAGCCTGACTGCATGACCCCGGAATACTGCAACCGTCATAAATGTGAAACCAATTATCCAATGTCTGAATTTTGATCATGTGACCATGGGGATGCTGCAACAGTCCGAAGTGTCAGTGTTCCAAGTAAACCCTTGTTGAAATTCAGAACTCCAAGACAAAGGCCATCAAAGTAGGAATTTATTAGAGAAGTCATGTTGGCAGATTAACAGAGCTGGAAGGGACTTGGTCATCTAGTCCAACCCCACGCCCAAGCAGGAGACCCTACACCACCTCTGACAAATGGTCAGTCCAATCTCTTCTTGAAAGCCTCCAGTGATGAAGCTCCCACAACTTCTGAACACAAGCAGTTCCATTGATAGATTGCTCTCACTGTCAGAAAATTTCTCCTTATTTTTAGATTGAATCTCTCCTTAATCAGCTTCCATCCATTATTCTTTGTCTGGCCTTCGGGTGTCTTGGAAAATAGCTTTTGACCCCTTCCTCTCTGTGGCAGCTCCTCAAATACTGGAACACTGCTATCATATCTATTTTCAAGGATTTCCAATGTTTTCAATATCAAGAATTGTCCATCTGATGCTCTGAAGCAGAACACGGTGACAGTATCAGCTCCCTACTTGCATTGCTCATTAAATGGTATTGAGATGCAGGGGAATTGTCATCCTGGACATAGCATATTCTATTTATAATCTCATTATTCATATATTTATATAATTCCCTAGCGGGACTAATGAGAATGAAAGTACAAAGTAGTTCTTGACTTATGATTGTAACGGATTACAGTCCTAAATCGTGATGGTTGAAAAGCAGATCACCCAAGTGACTGACTCAGTTTTATGGCTTTTTACAACAGCCATTAAGTGGTGCAATCGTTAAGCAAAACTTTTGTTCGCTATGGGCCTTTATTTTTTGTCAAAGCCTGGAAGTAAACACTGATTTTTAGCAAAAACACTGTAGATCGCAGTCATGTGATGGGGAGATACAGGAAATGACTGTTAAATGAAGGCAGAGAACCCAAAATACAGTCACGGGACCACCGAATGGGGGAGTACAGAATGGCCAACGGAATGTTGGAACCAGGTCATGAATACCTTTTGGGTGGGTGGGTGGGGGGTTCGTCATAACTTTGAATGCTTGCTAAGAGACCAGTCGTAAGTCAAGGACGCCGTGTATATTAATGGGTGTTCCTTGTCCTACAAACATTATCTTATTAGTTACAAAAGTTCTTTAAGTGGTATCAAGAGCCGTGGTGGTGCAGTGGTAAGAATGCAGTACTGCAGGCTGACTCCATTCGCTGCCAGGAGTTCGATCCTGACCGACTCAAGGTTGCCTCAGCCTTCCATCCTTTCGAGGTTAGTCAAATGAGGACCGTTGGGGGGCAAGAGGCTGACTCTGTAAACCGCTTAGAGAGGGCTCTGTAAAGCATCCCCCTTCTCACACTCATACATACGGTACATAGACTGCATACACAAACACATATACACACACACAGAGGGGGAGGGAGAGAGGGAGAGAGAGAGAGACTCTTACCTGGTTCTCAAGCTTATGTGCAAGAAATAGGGTTGCTCCATCAAATACTTTGGCTTTTCCAAGAAATTCAACATGGTTATACAGCAGGGCAATCCGTAAACGTCTCGATTCCAGCTCTGGGTTAAATGTTACATGGTACTGGTATAGCTGCCATTCCCTGGGCAAGCCTAAACTAAACAGGTTGGTAATCACGTTCACCGGAATGCCGCTGGATCCTGAAATGGACAAGATTATTAGCTGGATAGCAAAAAAAAAAAAATACAAACTTCAGTGTTTCTTTAGTAGGTAGACATTTTCTATTTTGCATATTTCCCCAATTCCCCAAACCCTAGTTCCCCAATTCTGATAAAATGGCAAACTACTACTGTGTATAAGTAATACAGGTAGTCCTCGACTTACAACCTTGATTGAGCCCAACATTTCTGTTGCTAAGTGAGACATTTGTTAAGTGAATTTTGTCCCATTTTACGACCTTCCATGCCACAGTTTGTTAAGTGAATCACTACAGTTGTTAAGTGAATCTTGACTTTGTCACAAGGTCACAAAAGGGGATCATATGACCCTGGAACAACTGCAACCGTCATAAATGTGAACCAGTTACCAAACATCTGAATTTGGGTCATGTGACCATGGGGATTCTGCTATAAGTGCTGCTATAGTCATAAGTGTGAACAACAGTCATGTCACCTTTTTCAGTGCCGTTGTAACTTCAAACAGTTACTAAGTGAATTGTTGTAAGTCGATGACTACCTCTCCTAAACCTCCTGGTTTCTTAGCCTACTTCTTCCATTACGGAACAATAGAACTGTAAGAGCCACTTTAACCATGTTAGCCCATGGTAGGAAAAAACATCAGAAGGGGTCTGGTAGCACCTTTTCCAATTAACAGATCTTACGCTTTTAACCTGCTTTTCATCAGATTCATAGAGTGGCTAATCCATACACCTTGAAGTGGCAACCTTAAGATGTATGGACTTGAACTTCCTGAATTCCCCAGCCTATGGGAATTCTGGGAGTTGAAGTCCACACCTCTTAAAACCACCACGTTGAGAAACATTCAGCTAGATTAATACAGGATTTAAAGTAGAAGGGGAGACAGACCAAAGATGGTTATGCAAAAGCCGGTTACATGCTAGACAAATTACCAGTACCTTATTGATTAAAAACGACAATGTGGTAAAATAATCATGTTTGTTGAGAGCTTCTGAGATTTCCTGAAACCTTGTGATGTACAGTGAGTTTTACAACCTCTCACTGAATAGTGAAATTAAAACCCAGTTTTTCCCAAACGGTGGAAATATGAGAAACGTTACTTCAACTGTAATGTAGTGTCAATGAGAAATACAGGTTTGTTCTCGACTTACGACCACAACTGAGCCCCAAACTGATGGTGCTAAATGGGACATTTGTTAAGTGAGTTTTGCTCCATTTTACGGCTTTTCTTGCCACAGTTGTTAAGTTAATAACACGGTTGTTAAGTGAACTTGGCTTCCCCATCAGCTTGGCTTGTCAGAAAGTCGCAAAAGCGGATCGCATGACCCCAGGAGACTACAACCGTCATAAAAGTGAAACCAGTTGCCAAGCGTCTGAATTTTGATCAACTGACCATGGGGATACTGCAATGATCGTAAGTGTAAAAAAACAGTCCTAAGGCAGTTTTTCACTGCTGTTGTAACAAACGGTTGTAAGTTGAGGACTACCTGCTGCTCAAAGCTGCTCAAAGAACCCCAGCATAGCATAGTGCAGGGGTGTCAAACTCAAGGTGTGTGGACTGGATCCAGCCAATGGGATGCTTAAATCTGGCCCACAGGGCCAGCCTGGAAATAGCAAAGGACCAGCCTGCGATGCCTCTGCTAGCGAAAATGGGGTGCAGGGGTGTGTGTGCATGGCCCGTGCCTGTTTTGGCCAGCAGGGTGCTGCAGGAGGCCGACCACCGGTCCAGGTCGGCCCGTGCAGGAGAACTACAATGCTGATCCAGTCCTCAAAAAAATAATAATAAAATGAGACCCCTGGGATAATGCTAAGAGCAGAAGAAAAACGGAAGAAAACAGAACAATAAACTATACCTGTTTTAGAATCTTTTACATGTACCATTGCTTTTCTGGTATTCACTTCCAGGTCCCGAAATTTACACTGGATCCTCCCCCCTCTCTCCATCACTGTATAACCAGAAGGACCAACAGAAAAGCCATCTTGAGATGGAAAAAAACAAAAACAAAGCGTTGGCAGTCTCAGAAAACAAATGAAGTTACAAAACAAGCTGTAAACCAATACTTTCAAAATTGGTGCGCTGGTTAATTAATTGTGAAAGTCTATTGTGATTCATTTCATTTGGATGCTGAACTATATACAGGTAGTCCTTGAGTTACAATTCATGTAGTGACCATTCGAAGTTACAACGGCACTGAAAAAAGTGACATATGACCGTTTCTCACACTTATGATCAACCCAGCGTCCCCATGATCTTGGGATCAAAATTTGGACGCTTGGTAACTGGCATGTATTTATGACAGTTGTAGTGCCCAGGGATTGTGTGATCGCCATTTGCAACCTTCCCAGATGGCTTCAAACAAGCACAGTCAATATGGGAAGCTGGATTCACCAACCCTGAGATTCACATGATAATTGCAATGATTCACTTAACAAACACAGCAGAAAAGGCTGTATATTTGGGCATGACTCACTTAACAAATGCCTTATTTAGCAGTGGAAACTGAGTACTGTAGAAAGTAAGTGCCCACCCCTCTCCTAGAAGAATGAAATATTTGGGGAAATATTTAAAAAGGCACAATATTACATTTCCCTGAAGGAGAGATATGCTCTTGAAAAGCAGCCCCCACCTTTCTTAATAGACCCAGCAGGACTGGGCCAGCCTATCTACAAGACAAAAGACATTCAGCTCCAGGGTGATGGCATTAAGGCATGACCCTCAAATGTGGGATTCAATTTTTTTTACTACTGGTTCTGTGGGTGTGGCTTGGTGGGCGTGGCATGGGACAGATACTATAAAATCTCCAGTCAGAGGTGATATTTGTCGGTTCTCTGAACTGCTCAAAATTTCCGCGGCCAGTCCTCCAGAACTGATCAGAACCTGCTGAATACCACCTCTGATGACCCCTCAGGACATAATAGGATTAGCCCTCTACCATCTAGCAGCAGAGCTCACCACATGGCACAACAAGACCCTTCATTGCATCATCTCAGTTGCACAATACATTCTCCAGGCTTCAACCAAACTTGATTCAGATAAACATGACCCTACATGGCCCCATGGGAGTCTGACAGCAGCCAATAGAATACATATTCTTGCACAGGAATAGAAGCTCAAGTTCAAAGCCCAAGAGAGAGTATAAATAACTCTCTCTCTCTCTCGACTCCACGTGGTCAGCTGCCCAGGACCGCAAACCCATGTGGTCCTGTTCATCAATAAATCACCTTTCCAATCAGCCTAGATGTTTTCAGTGACTTTTTCCTGGCTTGGAACTGAACCAGAGGGATATTTCTTCCAACATGAGCAATTGTAATCATAAGTCAAGGGCTACCTGTACTTTAAATATTTCCATGTACTTTAGAGATTAGGCTCTTTTAAGAATAGCTATTGCACAATTAACTTGCTTACATTTCAATGGCTGTTCTTCAGTTCTTACATGGCTGCTACTGGCCTCGGGCACACTGTAAGAAGCAGTGTCTCCGGAACAACCCTTTAAAGGTAGAAATGATAAACAGTGGTAAATTAAAAAAAAACAACTATGAACAGATTATACTTTTTTCCACTGAGTTGATTTCTGATTTTTTTTTAAAAAAAATTGCTATTAAGTAACACTCTACTGTTCTAAGATTTTGAGAATTGGAAGCTACAAAATGCCACCAGTCTGACTAACTATTTTCTTTTGTTTTATGCTATCAAAGGTCTCCCTTTTTACTAAACCACAAAATTAGGTAAAATAAGACAAACCGTCATGGAAAGATTAAGAAACAGGTCTAACTGCATAACTAGATCCATCTCTTTCAGATGTCGCAAATATAAACTAACACTATTACAAATATAAATTATATCCCCAGGACAAACATTTTATCAATATATAAATCATTCCAAATAAATTAGGTTAAGTAACATTCTCTCAGCCTGAGATCTCTATATCTTGTTTTCAATAGGGTTTTTTTTTTAGTTTTCTATCACTTATCACAGTGATTTGACACCCTTTGTTTTAATTTTCTTTCTGGGTTCACTAACATTATAGCATCAGTTAATAATCCCTCTTTTGTAAGAAATCTTCCCTGAATTTAATTCTGCCTGTATGATTTATTTGGAGAGTGTATGAATTTGATTCATTAGCAACTGTTCAAATGTTTTGTTTTTTTAGTACTTTGTTTTCCTAGGACAAAATATAGTAGTCAGTGCAAGCAGCTAATTAAAAATACAGCCATTTATATACAGACCACAAATACGTTTTAAACAAACTATTTTTAAAATAGTTTATTATGAATCATTAAATGTAAATCTAAATAAAGGATGTGGGACATAATAAAGGTTCGTTGGGAAACACTGGTCTAATGATTTAGTTGCCCCTTGAAGGGTTAACCCTAATCCTAACCCATGAAGGAAGATCAGCATTTTGTAAACAAGCAGAGGCGTAAAAACATACAGGTTTTGAGAAATCACTTTGTCCATATGTTTCTCTTCCAGGAAAGCATTGTCCTCTGGCTTTCACACGAGCCCGTCCACTCATTATTCTAGTTATGACTCACTGAAATAAAAAGAATTAGCATCTGAAAGCAGAACAAGAAGCAATGAATGGAAAATAATCAAGACGAGAAACAACCTAGAAACAAGAAGAAATTTCCCGATAGAACAATTGATCAGTGGAACAGCTTGCCTTCAGAAGTTGTTTTAAGTTGGGTGGGTTTTAAGAAGAGATTGGACAATCATTTGTCTGAAATACCATAGTATATGGTCTCGTGCAGGGGGTTGGATACGAAAAACCTCCAAGGTCCCTTTCAACTCTATTATTCTGTTAACTCTAATCCCAGGAGGATAAATTTGGTGGATGGAAGAGAGGCACAAGAGAGCAGATCCAAAGATTTCAAAACTTGACTTTTGGTGGATGGAAGAGAGGCACAAGAGAGCAAATCCAAAGATTTCAAAACTTGACTTTTCCCTATGAAACTCTCCATTCATATGTAGGATGATTCTGAAGAAAATACAGGCTAAATTTGAGTTATAGCTTTCTCATTCTCATTCATCAAGAGGGCTTGTTATACTAAACCTTATAAAAAGCAGTTTAAAAAAAAAATGACAGCAGCTACAATCTGGTGAAAAGCTGGCTATGGGTGTCCACCTATGTTTTAGAGCAATTGTATAGTTCTTAAGCTTTTACTTATTGCCTTTGTATCTTGCTCTTCAGTCATGAGTCAGAGCCTGCTTTAAAAAATGGTATTTCAACTGTGCTGAAAGACTGATCCTGTTTCTCAACATTCTTTGTTGAAGCTTTACGCTGAGGACCAGCGACTTAAGAAATTGGACCAGAAGCAGGATCCACCAATTAGCAACTTTGGCCTAGATAGCCCAACCCATCTCATAGAGGTTGTAGTGATGGAGAAAAATAGGAGAAAGAACAGAGGTGGTATTCAGCAGGTTCTGACCAGTTCTGGAGAACCGGTAGTGGAAATTTCGAGTAGTTTGGAGAACCGGTAGCGGAAATTTTGAGTTGTTCAGAATACCACCTCTGACTGGCCCCAGCCCCATCTATTATCTACCTCTGCATTAGCTGGGTGTTCTTGTGTTGCCCTGCACAGGAGAATGGAGCTGGAAATCAGGTTAGTGAGGTGGGGAAGGAATGGGATTTTGCAGTAACCTTCCTCTGCCATGCCCACCAAGCCATGCCCACAGAACCAGCAGTAAAAAAATTTGAATCCCACCACTAAGAAAGAAGCACTGGGCATAGCACCTTGAGCACCTGTACAAAGGTGGAATAGAAATCTAATAAATTAATTCCTGAGTCAAAAGTACTGTATAAAATGAGAATTGACCAAGATGAAGAATATAGAGGAAAGACATCTAAAACAGGTGTCTCCCTGCTCATCTATTTTTCCTCACATAGCATGTACTGAATTATTTATTATTGCTGGAATTACGCTCCATGTGTTTTTGGGCAGCTAAAAACACCTACACAGGGATCTTCTTTTACATTATTCCCACAATAAAATCCCTGTGAAATAATCTCGATGAAGAGAAAATGGCTGCCCATAGGTTACCTAGAGCTTTCATGCTGAGAACTGAACCGAAGTTTGAGAAATACTGCCTTAACCGTTACCATACACTAGTTCCCACAGGAACAGGAGTCTCTTCTTGATTTCAACCACCAAATTAAGAAAAATATATTTGTTGAGTTTGTTGTATTGCTAAGACAAAACAATGCAGTCTGAATTGCTGCAAATCTTCTGTACAATTACCGGCCAACTACCATACAGTATGTTATATTGCTGCATGAATACAGGTAGTCCTCTATTTACAACCACAATTGAGCCTCAAATTTTTTGTTGCTAAGTGAAACACCTATTAAGTGCATTTTGTCACATGTCACAACTTTTCTTGCCACATTTGTCAAGTGATTCTGGTTTTGCCGTTGATTTTGCTTGTCAGAAGGTTGTAAAAGGTGATCACATGACATTGGGACATTTCAACCGTTATAAATAAGAGTCAGTTGCCAAGGGTCTGAATTTTGACTACATGACCATATGGATGATGTAATGGTCATAAGTGTGAAAAATGGCCATAAATCACTTCAGTGCTGTTGTAACTTCGAATGGTCACTAAATGAACTATTCTAAGTTGAGGGCTACCTGTACAGCCCTTTAATTCCAATCATTCCTCCCCTCAATAATATTTCACGATATAAAGTGTGATGCATTAGGCATTCTCTAAACTAGCAGCTCCTGCCAACATAGCAATAATTTGAGTCCTTCCGGAACATCTCAAGGGCCACAGATCCTTGTCCTTGTTTAAACAGTGACACTGAGAACTGCTTCATATAAAAAACACTTAAGCCTACTTGAAACACAATGTTCTCCATTATTTAATCTGGAATAAAAATGCAGCCAGTATAAAAGTCAGATCAGGTCTTCTGGCGAACCTTGGATTTGAACCCTTACCCAACCCTATCCTAGTTATTTTTACCCCAAGC